CCCCCCCCCCCTTCCTTCCAAGCTCAGGAAAAGTCTGTACAATCGCACTTCATTTTTCCTTGATGTGCACTTGGAAATCCTGGGAGCAGCAACAGCAAGAATGAACTGCAAGACAGAAGATGACAACTGCCCTGATGGGAGTAGCAACAACCCGAAGAAGATGTTAAAATGCGTGGTGGTCGGGGACGGTGCGGTTGGGAAAACCTGTTTGCTGATGAGTTACGCTAACGATGCCTTCCCAGAGGAGTACGTCCCCACTGTGTTTGACCACTATGCAGGTAAGAAAGTGCTTTAAAAGTAATTTAATCGAGAGCCGTGGGAGGGCCAGGTGGGAGGTAAAGGAACATCGAGGAGAGGAGAGGATGGTTCAAAGGGGACGCACGGGTTACTTCTTGTCTGGGGATGTGATCCAGGCCTGGAGGGTAGCCAGGCAGCTTAGATGGCATCTCATACAAACGGGGCAATACAGGATTTATTCAGAGAACTTATTTGTTTGATGCCGATTTTTTGTTTTGGTGCATAAGCAACCTTAGGCATGTAATTCAATCGACTGGATTTGGGGACAACAAATACAATTCAGCCTCCATGTATTTGTATTGTTGTTCTGTTTTTAAAATTCTGAACTTTGCAGGCTACAGTTATGATGAATACTACTATATATATATATACATATACATAAAAATATATGCTATTGGTGATCTTGGCAAATGATGCATAAATTATAACACTTACATCCTATTTAAGGAGTAATCTTTGAGAAAACCTGCATAGTCTCTTTCAGTGCTGTCAGAATATAACCCTCATTTCAGAGACATTTGTTACTCCATCTCTAAACACGTTTTAATACTATAATGTGATGTTAGCGAAAACAGAAGTGGTGGTTGGTTTGACTACTTTGTGGTGGGGGAATCTGTAGTTTAAGAAAAATATACAGGCACAGTAAAGACAATCCATGATGTTCATTGCATCGCTGTGCAAAACAGAGCCAGAGATTAAATACAATATTCACAGGCCTCGTTCTGTAGCAATTCTTTAGTTTACCCAGCTGTGGCCAAAGTGATCACACAGATGGTGTGAGAGACTAAAACCATTGCTCAAACTTCTGCTTAAATTTTCCTATCCCAAATTCCACTCTTTTTCTTTTCTCACTGCCCCTTTTGGCTCACGGTTGTTGTTGTTTACAAGAACCCCAAAAAACAGATTCTAGAAGCACTGCAAAACTCATTTCTTATCTTGCAGCAGCAGTAGGAGTTTCCCTCTTTCTCTCTCCACCTCCTTAAAAACTGAATTTTCGTGGCGTGGCTTATCATAGATTTGGTATTCTGTAATGGGAAAATCTCCGCTTTCGTTTTGGCTTTGTGTCAGGTTTAGCATTCGAACTAGCAGAAAAAGAAAACTGTGTAATTGCTGAATCTGATCCATGGCAATGTGGAGACCTTTTCCACCACAAGAGTGGGCAGCATCACTTCTAATGCAGGCAATGCTCTCCTTCCTCTACCCTTCCCACTAGATAAATTAAACAACCATTTTAGGGGAAAAAAACAAAAAACAAAAAACAACAACCTTCGCCCAAGCAAGATAAAAGAATATTACACAATGGTAATAAGTACTTCCATGACCCCAAAACCTTTAGGAAGCCTGGCTGCGTGAATTTATATGTCTTATTTTGCAACAGCACCCACTTTCCCATAATACGCTGAGATCTGCTTGTCCCCCCGACAGCCTCGCTCCCTGGCAACACACCGGTCCCTTCACTCTCTCCCATGCCTGGCAAAAAGTCTGTGTGTGGAAAAACTCACACAGGAGCCAGTACCAGACCACATATGCATCGTTCTGCAGGCTGGGTGGTTTTAATGTGAGTGTGGAGGCACACGTGTGTGCACACACACACACACACATGCACAGAGGCACTGGCAGGGTCTCGGTGGGATCACCACTCTTGATTTCCCTTACCCAGCTGCAAGTGACTCACAGGGACTTGATCCGATTTTGTTTCCTCTCTGCCACAAGTGGTAGAAATTGCCAGTGGACTCTCAAGTTACTGAGGAGGAGAGGGCTGAGAGAAGGATGGGAAGACGAAGGGTGCTGCTGCATAATCCTTATTTCCCTAGGGTGCCAGGTAAATGCAGTATGCGTGCACTTTTAAATTAAGCTACATCTTCAGCGTTTGAAGGTTTAGACTTCTAAAACATCTCCAGCTATTCTTATTTGCCTTCTTAGCTATTATAGTACATGAACATAATCTAAGAATGTTTTCAGTGAGAAAGTTCAGAAAGATAAAGGGAAAAAATAGCTCTGTATACTAATGTGCTATTCTGAGATAAACCCTATCCAAGGGTAGTGGTCAAAACTAGCATTGATCAAAAATGGAATTCTATTTTTTTGAGAAGTCCCATCATTTATTAAACCAATTTCCTTCCAAAACTTCACACAGAAATGAGCAGGGGAAATGACTTCTGGAGCAGAGTGCTGGAAAAAAAAAATCCCACTCATAAAACATAAAAATATTACATGGCATAAAGCGTAACATAACCTATTTAAAATACTGTGGTATTGAGAGAAAAAAGGGCTCACTTGGGGCAATTTTACCTCTCATTTTACAGCCTTTGGGATATTTTGTTGCAACAGCCCCTCCCACATCCTTCTGCATGGTATGACATGGTCAAGGAGAGGTGGCATGGCAGTACCACAGGCACACCAATGCTTGGGCATGGTGATATCACAGGCACCACAGCACATGGGGAAGTTTCGCACATGGGCAGATCCTGCAAGGTTGTTGAGGCTCTGGAAAATCATATCTGAATTAACCCCTGGGTGCTGCTTTGTCTTCCCCTGCCAAAACCAACGGCTTTAGCTTTCCTAAATAAGCTGAAAGTATTTGATTCAGTTCTTCTGTGCTAGAAGTGCTCAAAAATCAATAAATTACTGCAGATTTTCACAAACCTGCACTTTCCACTGAAGGTTTTTTCACCCAGGCATTGCTACCAGCAGTAGCGTGTTAGCAAGTGCTTTCTCTTGCCTCACCGGGTCACAATCTGGTTGTGAGTCCCAGAACATCTACCCATTTCCTTCTTTTTAATGGAAAAAAGGGGAGGGGGCAGCATTAAAAAAAAATCAAAGTTTCTAGTGGTGATTTCAGCGCAGTTTCTCACTGCCACAACTCCAGCAACTCGGGAGAAACACTGATGCTGTCCAGCCTAGCACTGGGCAAAGCTCCAGCTGCACCATGACTGTGGCCAAGGCATTAACTGTTCACAGTCCCACAGCACCAACCACCTTTTCTTGCCCTGCTGCATTGCAGCTTTCTAGGTCCTTCCCTGGGTAGGTTTTCACAGGTGAAGCAGGTGGACACACTGACAAGGATGACCCAGAGGAAGCAAGGAATATTTCAAAGAGCTGAGCTCCAGCAGCATTAGATCTGTATGGTACTTATTCAGTGCCTCTCACATGAAAGCTAGAAACCACCTCATAAAATTTGGGCTCAACTTGCCTCTAAGAAAATCAAAGGCAGTAGATGGATTTCACCATGGAAGGAACAGGCTTCCTGCAGATAACTCACACAGCATTTACAACTCAGATACAGCAATGCCTGGGACAAAAAGCTGTTGGTGGTGTACCATGTATAGCTCTGCACAGTGCAAGAGTCCAAACCAGTTATTAGCTCCACACTAATAATATTCTGCCACAGATTTCACCCACAGTCCACAAAAATGAATTCGTGCTGGGCCTGTTGCCAAGATTGTGCTGTGATGGATGCAGAGTATAGTCAAAGACAATGCCAGACAGATGCGGAACACAAATTTGTTACTTGGACATAAACGTGGTTCCTTTCATTGGATATGTGGAACTTTAGAAGCCTGGTTATTTCTCAAGGCATTTTGAAGGGATTTTGCTGGAGGCCAGAGCCCTGAGTAGGTTTTCTTAACTTTGGTGAATGTCCAAGTCCCACACTAAAAGGGTTTAGCCACAACATAAATGGCTATTTCTAGGGCAGGCGAACCAAAGTGCTATCCCAGTGACAAACAGGATATTACTGGCAATAACTGTAACAATAGGGACTGTTTGGATAGTGAGTAGATGCTTTAACATGCTGGTTCCATTCCGTCCTTTGAACATCAAACACTGATTTTTCCGTGAGCAAAGGTCTCCCAGCTAGGGTGACTTGCATTGTGTCTAGCTATGTGAGGTTATGAATGTTTAATTAAGGCTGAGGTTGTACTAACAAAAAAAATTCAATTCAACTACCAGCAGAGTTGGTTTAATAGTACCGAAAATTAACTGGCTTGCTCCGTGAAATACAGAAGAGAGATGTGTTATTTGTTAGTTAGGCAGGCACCAAGCATCCAATTTGATATTCATGAACCCTAAAAAGCCAGCAATTTTTAGTATGATATTTATTCACCCTAAAATTTATATTCAGGCTTCCTAGAGAGGTGGTCGATGCCTCAAGTCTATTAGCGTTTAAGGTATTTGGACAATGCCCTTAATAAAACACACTTTAACTTTTGCTCAGCCCTGAAGCGGTCAGGCAGTTGGACTAAATAAAGGCTGTATGTCCCTTCCAACTGGAACTATTCTTTTCTGCTCTATTCTATAAGTGAATTTTTTTAAATGTTAAAAGCCTCAACTATCAGGAAGCACTATAAATGCCATGCAACTAACTTGACCCACTGTGCTGGCAAAGGTGAATGGACTCATTAGATGGTCAAAGTCTAAGAAGAGGGTGTTGAGCCTTAAACTGTCTAGTTCAGGCATAGCACATAGATGAATGTCATAGAAACAGCTTTAGAGGCCAATCTCTCCAAAGGAAAACTGCAAAGCATCTGCACTAAAGACGTAAAGTAGATGGCGTAAATACATCCCTCCCTCCCTTCATGTGTCGGCACAAACTGGTGAATATTTATAAATAGTGAATCCATTTGAAAAAAATTAGCTCTGGCATGTGATCAGCTAATGAATAGCATACAGAGTAGTTCAGCCCTGACTGAAGCTCTGTAAATTAAAAGCAATACAGGAGACAGTCATTAATTGCTATTAGGAGACACTTTTTTAATTTCTGTTAGTGATGATTCAGTCTAAACTGTCTGACTTTGCAATGAAGTGGGCTGGAGCACTCACTGGTCTCACAGAGCAGGGATCCCAACCTTGCTGGCCAGGCAAGCCACGTAGGAAGGGTGATCTGCTCTGGCATTTTTGTTAACACAGGAGCAATACTACTTCTGTTGCCCAGAGCAGTCAGCTTGTACCTGTGCAAACCAATAAATCTATTATATTCTGC